CACACTTTGCATTATCTTACAATAGGATCTTAAATCTGTAATACTGACATTTTTTTCTTCACTGAACTGGGTTTTATGGGATCCCCCTTCCCACCTGCCCGTATCAAATGCATTTCTTTGTTTTATTTAACTAATATTTGGTTCACATCTCACAAACGTTAAGAACACAGGTTCTAGAGGCCGATCACCTGGGTCTGAATCCTGGCTTCTCCACATACTAGCTGGTTGACCTACCTGGGCCTAGGTCCCTGATCACCTGGGTCTGAATCCTGGCTTCTCCACATACTAGCTGGTTGACCTACCTGGGCCTAGGTCCCTGATATGTTCATGCAGGGCTGTATTTCTAGAACTACCTCACAGGGTTGCTATGAGGATTAAAAGAGATCATAATTGTAAAGGCAGGCGTCCATCCAAGATTGGTACCCTGGCAGTCTGGCTGCTCTTAACCATTTTTTTTAATATATGCCAAATTCTATTTTTCTGTATTCAGATTATAGAAATAGCGTAGTATTTCCACAGGTATTAAAAGTCGGAGTTGAAAGCTTTTAAAACAAATTATTGAACAACTCTTTTAATCTATCAGGGGATACGAAAGTGAACAAAATGTAGTCTCCACCCCTAAAGAATGAAAGTCCACTTAAAGATACAGGCACACTAAAATCCATTATAACAGTATTTTAAACTGCTGTATTGATACTATAAGCAAAATGTTATGACAGAAGACAGACTGGCTCAGCCTGGGGTAAGCTGTCTCAGAGATAACACATGAGGTAGGCCATGAGCCATAAGTTTGAAGAACTCTCCATAAAGATATAACATTTGCAAAGACATGGACTTTAAAAATATATTTTGTACAGCAAGTTCTCGAAAAACGTTTTGTGCAATGTCAGTTCGTTATAATCTTGATGAGAAGTCATAGGAACCTAATTCCTGTTTACTTCCATTAGCCTATGGTAACATTGGTTTTGTTTTAAGTTGTTTTGCTTAAAGTTATAGAACCAATTAATAATGTTAAGTGAGGACTTAACTGTCTTTGAGAAACCATTACTCAAGGCTGAGAGGGCACAGGAAACATGGGGAGGCGAGGTGTGGGAAGAGGTTCACCACGCAGACCAAGCTAAGGAAGAAGACCCATAGGCTATTGGATAGTAGAATGTTTTATCCAGGAAGTAACATCGTAAAGAAAAAAGGTTTTGGAGAGATAACTCCACAGTAATAAGAAAGATGGGTTAGAAAGAGAAAACAAATAATTTTCAACTCCAAGGGCATGAGTATCTGATTCATAAATATCAAAGGAGATTTTAATATTTGTACTTTTTAAAAAGTATAGTAAGATTTTTAAACATAAAATGTGCATTGCTATATATTAATTAAATTCTAAGAACTGAAAAAAATCAAACAATTTGTTAAGAACTTTTACATAAGAAAAGTGTGTATCCTAAGTAGCATCAGTTTGGTCATAACGACTCCTTCACAAGTGTTTTTCTACCATTCTCTTACCTCCGGGGGATGTATTAGTCAGAGTACAGAGTTTCAGTTATGCAAGATGAGTTAGTCCTAGCGACCTATAGAGTCTGCAGTTATAAACAGTGTAATGTATTCTAAAATTTGCTACGAGAGTAAATCTTGTGTTATCATAAAATAATAATAATAAATAAAGAGGGCAGGAGGAAACTTTAGGAGGTGATCAATGTGTATATGGCACAGATTGTGGTGATATTTTCACAGGTGTATACTCATCTCCAAACTCTTCGAGAGGTGTATGTTAAATATATACAGCTTTTTATATGTCCAAAAAGATGTTATAAAATAAATTCTTGGCTTGAGATTTATTTTTTAAAGTTGCTTTTAATATTAAGTTAAAGATCACTAAAGGAATAAAGTACACAAGATACCCAAGTCAGAACCAGGCAATATAGATTAGGAAAATCAATCTTAGGAGTTTATAAAGGAAAATATTTCTCATTAAAATTGGTATTTCCATCCCGAGTCCCAACCATCTTTTTGAATGGTCCATAAGGGAACCAAATGTTTTTCTCATTAAAGCAAGTGCCTTGGATTCAGTATATATTTTCTTCAAGGTTGGCAGTGTTGACCATCAGAAAATTAAGCCTCTCCTGAATGGAAAAGCCAGAACTTTACTCTGAAACATAAGCCCTCCAGCTGAAACGCAGCCGTCTTCCTTTGTAAAAGTACTCAGATCCCAGTTGGTTGTAATGCTTTTGCCTTCAAAAGCCAGGCCAAAGTGCGGTAATGCTATCCTTACCGAAAACAGAGGGAAGATGGCCTCAGTTTCATGTTTTCTAATCTGCTCTTGATCAGAATGTCTGAGGGTTTGGATTGTAACCATACACTGACATGAAAAAACAATCACCTTACCCCCAATATGTCAAAATGTTATCAGGAAGCCCTGCATCTGAGATCTGATATCTCACTGATTGCTCGGAACCTCCTCTTTGCCCTGCCCTATCTGTTTCAGGAAAATGAAACCCTGTATTTATTGACATTTCCTCTCAGAAGACATTTCCTTTCAATTGAAGGTATGTTCTTCTCATACCAGCAGAGGGAGGCCTGATCCACTTCCTGAGCTCTGAGACTGCTCAATTAAGTCTCTCAGGGATTCTCCAGGAGGAATGTATGTGTCGTCCTGCTCTAACCCAATGCTGTACCGAGGTCTGGCTTCTTGTCTTTTATACCTAAAGATGCATAGAGGAAGATCATTTCAGACACTGGACTGCAATATGGTCAAAACACTGCAGATAAAACATTGATCCTGGCAGGTTTTCTTTTAGCATACAAATACAAGATTAAATGCACAGTATTTATTAACCTCGGTTATGATTTCTAAAATACAAATCCTAATTATTTTTCCTAATCTATTTTTTAAAGTAAACTACATATTTTTACTTAGTCTCAACCATCTACAATTTTTCTTCTCTATTTCCTTCCATTGACAATTTCCCAGCAGGCTGCATTCATTAATGTTTATATATAGCTCCAATAGTCATTCCCTAAAATCTTTCCCTTTAAGGTCCCTAATAAATTATACAATAGATGCACACAAATATTTGGTTTACAAAAGACATTACAGCTAGCCCTCTCATCTAAGATAACATATAGAACAATAATATAGATAAGTGAAATAAATTTAAACTTTAAAAAATTTTTGTCAACAATTATCTTTCCAATTAGAAATCAATTTATTTGAATGAACTCCCATTTATAAATAGTATTATAAATGAGTATTAAAAAGGGGAAGTGACATGAATTTAAAGGTCCTTGATATTTCACAAACTACAAAATAAGTTCTTAGTGACTAAAAATAATTTGTAACCACCATACTTAACTTTAATATAGTAACTGAACTTATTGCACTTTAATAATTAATCTATAAATTATCTTTAAAACCTTTCAATACTAAGGGGGAAATTGTTAGCTCAGGAAATGAAGAATTACTAAAGAGATTCTAAGTTCAACATGCTCGTTTCTCCGCTTAGAATCAAACTCAATAGCAACTAGTTCCTTAATTCCCTAACTACTCTAATTTCACTAGAAGTGGAATTTGTCTGGATGGTTTTGATGTCTGAAGCAGAAAAGAAATAGGTATCTGTTAATAGCTTCATTAGGACAACTATTTATCAATAGTAACTGATATTATCAGTGAAATCTAAGATCTAATTAGGTCAAAGCAAGCTGTGGTGAAAAAAGAAAACATCAACAAGTAGTATAGTTGTATAAGAAAGATATAATAAACTCAAAGTTCTACATCTACATGTTGAACACTTACCTGAAGTAACAGAATAAAATGATAAGGACCAAGAGCAAACTACAGACAGTCACAGATATAAGTAAGGCTTTCTGGTGTATAGGTCCGTCAACAAAGTCTGAAATTAAAAAGAAAGTAAAGAAAACCATTTAACAGAGAACATTTTCACTTAAAAATTAGAAAGCAACTCTTTCCTAAAATTACTTGCTAAGTTCCATATGCAAGATGTCAAGGATCTTTTTAACCTGAAAATTGATAAGAAAAAAAATAAATATGTATGCACTCCAAAGTAAACAATTTTGAATAGCATGAATCATCATTCATCTAGGCACTCAATTCAAGGGCATGGACTTCTTCCTGTCTGTAAGGAATAGGCTTGACATAGGATAGATAAAAGCACAGAATATGAACAAATGTAGTGAGTGGAACAGTACTCCCAAAACACGAGTAGGTAGTTCATCTTTATTTCAGATCCAACTGAAGGGTTTACAGGCTTCTCTCATGTGGTTGCTAGAGCACTTCATATCATGAATTTGGATAAAAAAACTAATCTATATTATTGTATTTAACACAAAAAGTCATCTTATGATAGATGCAAAGGAACAGGATTCCTCGAATGTTGCCAAATATGTATAGAACATAGGAATGTGCATCGCTTTAAATGAAAATGCCCTTCTAAAATACATAGACATAAATTTTTCATAAATCGCATTAATTTTTTTAAAATGGGTATGTTCTACTTAAAGAATATTGTGTGATCTTTTTATAGAACAAATTATTAAATATTATTCATGTTCTAGCTCCAATTCTTACTTCTTTTTTTTTTTTTTTTTTTTTTTTTTTTTTNCTGAGCCATCCTGCTACCTGTTGGCAGCTCAGCGGCTGCTCAGCTCGGGCTGTACTCGAACTGCTGTTGCTCAGAGCTCAAGCTCTATGAGCGAGCTCTTAACCAACTGAGCCACTCGGCCGGCCCCTAGCTCCAATTCTTAAATCAGATTTACTTACAACATGATTTCTCAAACTTCATATAAATAAGAATGACTTGGAGAGCTTTATACAAATGCATATTTACTGACTTCAACCTCAGAGATTTTTATTCAAAGTACTTTATTTTTTTTTATAATCATCGGGATGATTTATATGCAAGTAGTCTCTGGAACATATTTTGAGAAAACTGACCTAAAACCAGGTGCATGTATATAGTAATAGTATTAGCACCATTCTTATTAAGGACACCATACATCCTAGAGAGTGTACTTACTGTTATTGAATTTTAAATAGTATTACTGTAATTTATGACTATGGTTATTATGAAAAAGAGGCTTTCCAATTTTGCTATGTACATTTAACGTAGAGCTACCTAAACACTTTGGTTGTAGACCTTTTCCCACCTAATGTAACTTTTTTTTGTATCAGTAGAAAGTATTATATGTTCCATGAAGAAAACTGAAAAGCACCAACTAACTTAACTAAAATATATAGAATCACCACCACCTCACTACTTAGGAAAATTACTACTAACATTTGATAGTATGCCTTTGCAGTACCATTTCAATGAACAAAAAAGTTCATGAGCAAAATACTTCACAAAAAGGCATTATATACAACCATGTCCACGGCAGCATCATACATAAAAGGAAAAACATGGAAGAAATCCAAATGTCCACTGAAAGATGAATGGATAAACAAAATGTGGTATACAAGGTCTGGCAATTAAGTTCGCGAACTCATCCTAGAAGAAGTGCTACATACCTCATTGCTGAATATCACTATGGTCACCTTTGAAGCACTCCCCTTTGGAAGCTACGCACTGATGCCAGTGCCTAGTGCACCCTTTAAAGCAATTTTGGAACTCTTTTTCTGGAATGGCCATCAGAGCTGTCGTTGTATTAACCTTCATGTCCTGAATGTCATCAAAATGTATTCCTTTCAATATTTCCTTTATCTTTGGGTAAAGAAAGAAGTCATTGGGGGCCAGATCAGGTGGGCAGGGTGTTCCAATACAGTTATTTGTTTACTGGCTAAAAACTCCCTCACAGACAGTGCCGTGTGAGCTGGTGCATTGTTATGATGCAAGAGCTATGAATTGGTGAAAAGTTCAGGTTGTCTTTTTCACACAGCCTCTTCAGCACTTTCAAATAGTAAACTTCTTATAAATAGTAAACAAACGGTTAACTTTTTGTCCCGTTGGTACAAATTCATAATGAATAATCCCTCTGATATCAAAAAAGGTAAGTAACATTGTTGCAACAAGTTCACAAACTTAATTGTCAGACCTTATATACATACATGGACTATTATTCAGCGTTAAAAAGGAAGGGAATTGTGACATATGCTACTACATGGATGAATCTTGGGGGCATTATGGAAGTGAAATAAGCCAATCCCCAAAAGACAAATACTGTATTATTCCACTCATATGACATACTTAGAGTAGTCAAAATCATAAAAGACACAAAGTAGAATGGTGATTGACAGGGGCTGAAGAGAGGGGTAAATGGGAAAGTTACTGCTCAATGGGTATAGAGTTTCAGTTTTTCAAGATGAAGACCTCTGGAGATGGATGGTGGTGATGGTTGGAAAGCATGATGAACATATTTAATACACTGAACTGTATACTTAAAATGGCTAAAATAGTAAATTTTATGTTGTGTGTATTTTACCACAATAAAAAATTGGAAAAAATCATTGTAATTGCTTCATAACTAGATTGTTTTCATTTTTAATATTCTGAATGCTTCCAAAACAATAAATTCTTTTTCCACCAGAAAGTCAATCTTCTGATGACAAATATTTAGGAGACTGCAAAGATTTGCTATAACACATTTTTGTAATACCTAAAATTCTGTGATGAACACTTTATATATAAATCATTATACATGTCAATGATTATTTCCTTAATCTAGACTCTTAGAAGTAGAATTATTAGTTTAAAAGTATAGAATTTAAGGCTTTTCATACATACTATCAAAACATCCTTTAAAAAATGATTACACAGTATCTACTTCACCATCAATGTGAACATATGTTTTCATTATTTTGAAATAATTTAAGTCTTACAGATAACCTGTAAGGATAAAGAATTCCAATATGCCCTTTACTGTGATTTCCTATTTTAAAAATTTTGCCATATTTGCTTCATAATTCTCTCCTTCTCTCAGTCTGTCTGTCTGTCTGTCTGTCTGTCTCTCTACTTTTATGCAGTCATCATTGACTAAAACATCATTGTGCAGTGCATGACTGTATATACACATATACAGAGGGTGCCAAAAAGATGTATACACATTTTAAGAAAGGAAAACTGTTTTAAAATTGTAATAATATATACCAATAACAAAAGATAAATACAAGTCACATTTGACTTCTGCAATTACATGAGGTGTGCAAAGTGGTTCTCATCAGCATCCAGACACTTTTTTTTTTTTTAATGGAATTGGGGAAGGGGAACAGCATTGGGGAATTGGGGATGGGAAACAGACAATTTGCTGTCCTTTTGTTCTTCAGTCTAGTTGTGGAGGACGTCACTTCACTGGCCCATGTTGGTATTATCATTGCACTCTTCCCGGGTTAGGACAGCTGCTCATCTGCCATTGGACAGCCGCTCACGACGACTCACAAAAGTTCATGCCCGCTGCCGGCCAGCCCCACTGCAGCCTATGCTGTTGCCGGTGACTCACGGCAGCCCAGCTCCAGGTCGAGCTGTTGTTCACCATCTTAGCTGTAGAGGGCGCAGCATCATTGGCCCTCATGTAGGATCTGAACTGGGGCCCTGCTGCACAGAGCTGACATCCCAAGCCAACTCCTAACCAACACGCCACTCGGCTGGCCCAGACACTTCTGATTACAGCGAATTACTGCTTGAGCAAAATTGACCAAAGTGTCTACTTGTGTACATATTTTGGCACCCCCAGTATATATGTGTGCATATATACGAGTACATGACAGTGGTCCCATAAAATTATAATGAAGCTGAAAAATTCATATCACCTAGTGTCATTCTAGCCATCCTAAACAGGCATAGGCAATGTATTATTATTACCTATAGTATTCAGTACAGTAACATACTGTAGAGGCTTGTAACCTAGGAGCAGCAAGCTGTACCATAGAGCTTAGGTGTGCAGTAGACTATATCACCTAGGTTTGTGTAAGTGTACTCTATGACGCTTGCACAAGGAAATCGCCTAATGACGCATTTCTCAGACGCTATCCCAATCATTAAGCGATGCATGACTGGATATATCTGTATTCACATTTCTGTTTATTTATATTTGTATGTATGTATAATTTGTGGATCATCTGAAGTTACAGACATAATGTCCCTACCCATAAACACTTCAGAGTGTGCTTCCTAAGAACAGGACATTGTCTCATCAAATGGTAATACAGTTATCAAAATCAGGAATTTAACATGAACATATAAATTGAAAATCAATCTCACTTTGAAATAGTTCAGAGAAAGTTTATAATAAAGTAAAATCCACAGATAGTTATGCTAATTTCTTGTCCAAATATTATGATAGTTAATGGTATGATTTACTCATCAGTCTAAAATATATGTTTAACAATTATTTATGATCTACACTACTTGGCAAATATTATTGGAAACAGTCAGCATCTAAAAAGACTAAATGAGAGACCATTAAATATAAGCAGTTTTATATTAACAATTTCAGAAACAGTGCCAAGGGTTAGAAAAAAGGAGTTCAGGAATTTGACCCGCTATAGTACAGATCCAAAAAGCCATTCAGGCTTTAACACCGACAGGAATCATATATTAATTAGCACATCATGCATTGTCTGAAAAGTGTTGCTTAGAAAGCCTTGAAAATAATTCGTAGGCTGTTAAAATTAAGTAGGCTAAGATTTTACACAAGGAATCGTCTCAGTAAATTTTCCCTCTATTCCCTTCCTCCCTTAAGTTATAAGCAAAGTTAACAATAAACCCAAAGTGAGCACAGTACCTCTGCCAGTTAGAGCACAATTCACAATGTTTACATCTGCAGGTGTACAAACACCCTGGTTACATATATATGTGCAAGTACTATCTCTGGAAACTTAGCTTGAAATGTACTATTTCCCTTGTTAAGGATAACAAAAGCAAAGCCTGAAGTTGTTGAA